ATGCGTATCGTATGTGTGGACAATGCACAGATATCACCTTGGGGCCTGGCTCTTCTGTAATTTTAAGTAGGAAGGCAGGAAGGAAACTTCATGCCTGCAGCTGTTTATTAAAAGATCATGACACTCCTGCATGAACATGAGCCCCCCACCCCCGCTCATCTGTATGCACAATAAAACCCCACTTTGAGATTGAAGAGCCTTTCTTGTGGAAGGTGCCCTCAGAGCATCTCAGAGGAAACTGAGCATTATTGTTCAAAAGACAACCCCCACTCCTGTCCCCCAGGCTCTGGCCCCCGCGATCCCCTCAGCCACCTCGCACAGTCCCAGTTCTGCTAGATGCTGTTCGGCTAAAGGTCCATGCTAGCATGCCGTCGCAGTGGTGCGTCTGTCTGCACGTTGCTGTGTAGCCTCCCCCACAGGATGTAGGTGGTTATTAATAGCATGACCGCTAAATCAGACAGTGATGCTTCATCAGAGAAATGGCGTTTCCTGCTTCTTTAGGGTAATGTATTGGCATCTTTTTTCAGGGATTTATTTCTATGCCATTTCAGCCTCTTAAACTTTCTGACATTATGGGGCAGTTAATTTTGAGCTCCTGTAAATTTCATTAAATTACTGGAATAGGGTTGCTTTTGACAATACCACCAAAATACTGCATACTATGGCATAATGTATGGACAGCATGAAAATCAGGGTTGGGGTCATTCCAGGATGCATGCATCAATTCCAATGCAAATCAAGAAATGCAACTCAAGTTGGAATTTAAATCTCCCTGAAATTCAAATTCCATTCCAATTCTGTTCCCCGTAGGATTTTTTTTCCCTATTCCAACTCTAGTTCCATTTCTGGAATGGCCCCAACCCTGAATGAAAATGAAAATGAAACTCAGGGTTACCAACTCTCACACACGTCTGGCTCATGCTTTCAGACTCTGACCCTTTTAAGCAAGAAATCTGTATTATTCCATTATAAACTTCAAAATTAGCTACATTAAAAGCTTTGGGGTAGTTTGCAAACCTTAAAGACTACTTACAAGGTAATAAAACTATTTCATACATGTAAATGCGCGTGTATGTTTGAGCAGACCAGTCCCGAATTGAAAAGCTCACTCCAGCCAGCTGCTTAAACCACAGAGCCACACACCGTCCCACAATGTGCACCAACAAGAAAACAAAATCATACGAAAAATGTGGCACATTCATTTACATTAATGTAGGCTTCTGGCAACTTTACTCCAAAAATATTCATGCTAAATTCTGAATTTGTAGGGCTCCTGATCAGTCTGAGATAGGTGGCCTTTGGTGCAGTACATTGATTTGAAACCCTTAAGGATGGCCAGCTTTGCCGCTGACGATCGGACTGATTTCACAGAAGCAAAGTTAACCTTATACTGCAGCGCCACAAGTTACGATAGCGAGTATCTGACACACAGCAGCGGAAATAACAGTGATGGGCCCCGACAAATTACCTGGTTAGCAAGAAAAGGTAGCTAAAATTTGACTGCAAATTAAAAAATTTGACTGCAAATTAATATTGTTAAATGACAGAAGGAAATTTTTCAACGTTACCACAAACTGACATCATGGCTGGGTGAGTGAAGCTCGTGGCTAGCCCGGTTGTAATGATGTGACAGAGTAATTAGATAAAATTAAAACTTACCTCTATATGTTTCTTCAATTAGTGACAGAATTCTTGAATGCAGATGACAGGCCAAGACACAGCCGGTATGACATGGCGACGCTGTTAACCTTCTTGGTTTTAACTTGGAAAAGTTCTGGCAGGTGTGGCCATGAACGTACTATATATCAAGGCAACTCCTGACACAAGCTCCATAAATGTTAGTAGGTGTTAACTTTTTAAATGATTCGCTACTGATTTTAAGCGCAAAATGACTTGATTGGCTACAGGAAATAAACTGTCCAATCATTGTTAACGGAGAAGGGAACATGAACTAAATATGTGTTGTTCCAACTATGTAAGTTGGTAACAATGTTAGAAAGTATGCTTTTGAAAAACTTATTCAAAGTAAGTAGGCACAAAAAGCACAAAATGTCCCTTATTACTATTGGGTCTTGCATTGATTTTCAGTTGCTGAATATTCTTTCTAGATTTCCTCTTTCATCCTGCTTGACCACTGAAATGAATTTTATCAGAAACCAGCCAGAGGTACGATCAGATCCCATGAGGATTGTTTTATTTACAAATCTCTTTTTGCATCAGAATTACAAATCCACAGCTCCTTGTTTTTGCCGTTACGTTTGTGTATGTGATCGTACAGGTGGGGGATGCTCCCAAAAAGGCTTTCAATGGCAAGGAGGTTGAGATGCAATTTTTGTAATTTAAATCTCATTTACTCCACATCCAGCTTTGACCTCTGTCTTCAGACCATCTTCAGTAGACTGGAGGCTGATTGGACCACGGCTCAGCTGGAGAAGTTCCTGGTTTAGGTGGAGATTAAAGAGCCCTAGAGCAACCTTTTGTAAGCTCTTTGGAGGCAACATAGGACACAAAGGCTGCGGACATCATGGGCGGAACACGTTCATCTTTATATTGTTATATCTTTGGACTGCTGCAAAAAACCAGTGTACCTGGAAGAAACCCACGTAACAGGAGGAGAAGCAGCAACCTCCACACGCTGAACAGGGGCTACATTTGAACCCACAACCTTGGAGTTGTAAGGTGACAGTGCTCCCTACTGGGAGCCTCCAAACCAGGATTCTCCAGTTCCAGTCCCGGAGGGCTAGAATCCAACACAATCTGCAGCTTTCCCTGTACAAATACACCTACTAAACCTGGTAATTAGCTGATTAAGGTGTTTTTTGGGTAAGGAAATCTGCAGTGTTGGATTCTAGCCCTGCAGGACGGGAATTAGAGAACCCAGCCCCAAACCATTTGACTGAAATACTTTACTCCACAATCTTCTGTTTCTTGGTTATTTGTTTCCCATTATTTACATGTTTATTTTAAAACCTTATAACTAGACTTATGTTGATTGAATTGTAGATTTTTTTATTTTTTTTTTTAAAAAGGTCATCTTTTAATTTCTAGCGTTCTTAGGAACGTGTTTTTGTGATTATTGGTGTGAAGTTTTCCTACAGCTAGGTTCAAACGGAGAACGCAGTGATATAGAATATGCCACAGCATGGGGGATTATCTAACAAAGATCATTATCCGTTTCCTACGAAAGGTGTGAAAGATTATTTCCTCTGCTGGATTGCCGACAGGTAGGAAATCGGCTGCAGTAATATTCCTTTAATATCTTTAAATAGCTCCCCTAACTAACTAATTTAAGGGAGGATTCAGTTACTGTATATCCTGCAGAACATTATTTTAAAAAGTAAGCAGGTAAAAATAAAATCGGAATATCCATTGGATACCAGATGTCTCTTCTAGTTCTGAATTCTACTATGCCTAATTAGGAAACACAAGCATGACATGACTGGCTGTTTTTGGCACAAAAAAAACAACGGGGGGGAAAAACAGATTTTTGCTTAACCAGTCAGGTGCACTGCGAGTCCAGGCTGGAGTGACTCATCTCGCAGGCTGTCATGTTCCTCCTACACTTTTCTGTATGTCGAGCACATACCGCTGGTCTTTTGTATATCGAATATCTCCAGCTCCACTCAGGGCCTGGGACTCACTGCCACTGACCTGCTAAGTATCTCAGGCGAAATGTGCCTCTTCCCAGCGTGACTTCCAGAAAATGGATGCGAGTCAGCAAGCTACCTTGGGCCTCTTTGTACGATTATTCTTCTGCATGGAAATGATCCAGTTTGCAGCCTGTCCACTTTGCGCATAGTCCACCTTGGCAGCAATGGGATGCTTTGAGGTTGTGAAAGCCACACAAATTCATCTTTGTGGATATGTGATGGAACTCCACTGAAATCTCAAAATGTCATGCATCCATTTGCTCTGTTCACTTTGGCAGGAATCTACCAAGCATTTCATTTTTCATTTCAGTCATGTTGGATCCCCGACATCTGGATCACAGTTTGCGTTTGGAAGTTCCATACATTTCCCTGAGAGCTTTTCACCAAAATCTGTACTATGTCATCCTCAGTAAGAATGTAATATGGGAATCCATCCATCCACCCATCTTGCAACCACTTATCCTGGTTAGGGATGCGTGGAGCCTGCAGATTATCTCATGTGAGAGGTTCATTCTTCGATAGTGTGGAGTTGCAATATCTCTGTTATAATAATTGAAATGTAGTGTCACTGTTTTAAAAGCTTTATGCTTTACTGCTTCCTATGTTATTCTTAGTTTAAATTCCTGTCTTGCAGAACAAGCATGATATCTGCTATGTGATTTTGCTCCTCATTTTCTAACAAGCATTTCATCACCAGTTTCAAGCAGCCAGGTGTAATGAGCCTCCCTGTGTTCCCTTGTACCCTGGGCTCTGGTCACCCCTGTCAGATTAATGGTAGCTATATTACAAAAAAGGCTTGATTTAAGGAACCCAAAGTCACGACCGAATTGAGTAATATGTGTCTAAGCAGTGATTCTGGAAACGTGTGTCATTAAGCCAAATGCAGGCTGCAAAGAAAGACCCACGTCTATCGAATTTCAGAATGTAGTCCTAAGAATCTCCGTAGGCCTTCTAAAGCTGAGATTCATGTGGCAGATACACCGTAATGTTTATGAGTGAAACGCCATCGGCCCGTGTTGTGGAAAAGAGGCTCTTGCTTGCTGTCGACTACATTAGTTTCCATGGAAACAGGCCGGTGAAGTTATCCACAGAAAGTATTCCTGGATATTTTGTCAAATGGAGGAGCGCGAACACAAAGGTCAGCTCTGTTTTTTTTGATCGCCCGATAGTACTACGGAGAGCCGGATGTGAGGGTTGTGTTACGTCACATGGAGATTTGGTCTGGCTTTTATATTTTTAGAAGTCATCGTAAGAGATGCTGTGCTAACGATTCAGCATACACGGGTCTCTTTTTCAGAAAATTGTTTGAGAGTATTTGAACAAATGTTTTTTATTCCATCTGTTTCACAGAGACACGATGAGGAAGCCGTGGTGGACAGAGGAGGGACACGCACCATGCTGAAGACCAACTTTGAGAAGGATGAACTGGAAGGTAAATCTCTCCTCCCCGCCATGCTTCAGGGGACGGACAGAGAGAAGGTCAGCTGGCAAACCGGTTTGTTGGAGACACGGGGACATTTCACAAGCTGACTACAGTGAGAGCAAAGCAAGAAGACTGCTGATACTGATCTGTGTCACATTTACGTCATCTGTATACAGGCCTTCAGGATTTGTAAAGACTGTTTGGAGGAGCATTCTGCTTCACAAATTATCAATGACATTTACATTGAGCCATCCGTCCATCTTCCATAGCTCTTTATGCAGTAGAGTGTCATGTTTATTTGTATTAGCGGCAAAATATATATTTTTCATGCTCAAAAACAGCTATGAGTTTTCCCCATGCCTAGAAAAAATGAATGCAGAGAAGTGGTGATTATGAAGAATCTTGGGCTGATCATAAAGAATGTTTGTATAATAGTGATTACTTATTCTGATTGAAATGTCTGAGAAATAAAAAAACTTTTTCAGCAATAGAGGCTATGGCTGACTAGTTTAATTTAGCTTAGTGGGAAAGAGCCAATTTGAAATGACCTCCTGCTAAAACTCTTAGCTTTCAGGATGAGAGGTAAGGAAGCCTGGCTTCTATAACCTGCCATTAAAGAGTTGATGTGAGATCTCACACGACCCCCCGATCTGTTACTGGTGCAGATGGGTTTTCTGGGTAAAACCCAGCAATTCATCTGCGGATGATGTGCCCCATGCTGTATCAATGGGTCAGTAGAGCCAAAGGGACAGCAGTTTTTGGCCTCAGAGTGCATTTCTGCCTGCTTGAGGAGGCAGTGATTCTGTGATGGGCGCCTTTGACATGGAGGTTATTGATTGGGCCATTTGGATGGATCTCTCCAGGAGCGTTGGGCTTATATGCAGGAGACGCGGGTCTCCGGGGTGAGAAATGGGGAGGCTGTTATTGACTAGCCTGATGGATGACCTTTTTCTGATCCCTTCATCACTATCACGTTGGTGAACTGGCTCCATCAGTGCCCCCCCTCCCCCTCCCCTCACTCGTACCCCTCTCTGGGGAGTTTGCAGATTGAAGCCTAAACATTATGGATCATTATTCCGCGTAAAATCCTAATTAGTACCTAAAATACGCCAAAAACCTACCTGCAAAACACCTGTGCATCTGCGATATTAATGATAGCGTTCTATGGTCCAGAGAGGTTTACACAAATTCATCTTATTATTCCCACGACATGCTGTGTGTAATTGATAACGTGCCGCTATCATCCTGCTTAATGGAAATGCTCAGATACCTACAGCATTGACAGTCCTACAGGCTTCCTACCCTAACAACCAATCAGTTTCACCTCAGCGACGTCCAACCCGTCTGCCCAATCAGCAACCTGAGCGACTCATCCAGACCCCGGTTGACTGTGGGGCCTATTAAAGAGACACAGGTCATCCCTTTCACTGGGGTCTCCTCCACTGACTGCTTTTCAGAGCATACAGACCTGAATCACAGCTCCCCTAACACTACAGTCCGTACCCCTGACTCTAGTTTGCGTGCTCCAAGCCGGACATCAAAAATTTATGAATAATACTTTAGTGAGACCAACAAAGTATATAAATCTGGGCTTGAACTCCGCTGCCTCTATCAGGCAGGCTGTGGCATTGCACGTGAGCTGGGCAGAGGATAAATCTCTCTGCTAACGCTGCCCCCATATTCCTTGCCGCTTCTCCCGATGTATAACCACAGCCCCTCTTCGACAAAAGGCTGTGAAATTTAACAATGGTGGGTCCCAAGGCTGATGACTATGTTGAAACATTTGGAGACCTTAACCGCCAGCTTTGCTTTGGCCGGAATAGGGTCGGCTAACGAAAACGGAATAATAACACTCTGGGCATTTTACAGATAAATGTAATAATCAGAAAGAAAGTGTATTTACACTCAGGCAGATATTTTTGACAATATGTAAACGGGCTTAAATTGCATATTATTCAACTGGGTGGTGTTTATTGGCCTTATTTTGGAAAGGATTTGAATTTGAAGAAGGGTTGGACCAAAGAGTCCTATTTGGGTTATAAATACGATTATTATGTATGTCATCGCCCTGCCTTTATAAATATGGCTGTCGCTTGTTCTCTAGATCACCGGACGCTCTACATTGGCGTGCACGTTCCTCTGGGGAGAAAGAGTCACAGGAGAAGGAGACACCATGGACATCGTCACCGGAAGAGGGACAGGGAGCGGGACTCTGGGGTGGAGGATGGACGAGAGTCCCCGCCTTATAGTATGTGAAAGTTTTCTTTGCCATCTGTGTAGCCTCACTTCCTCCCCCCCCTCCCCAAACCTTTTCCTCGGAACGGGAAAAATCAGAGCCCCCGTTTTTCCCCCCAAGTGGATTTACATCACACTTCCTACAGGCCAGTCGGGGACAGAGGTGAATCACGCGGCCCGTCTCTCCCACCTGCGCGTACTTTCCACTTTTTTTTTTTTTTTACAAAGTTCTGACTCATCGGCGGGAGCGGGCTGTTACCGAATCGCTGATAGAGAGAGGGGGAGGGGAGAGAAGGAGAGCGAGAAGGAGAGAGAGGCAGCCCTCGAGGTGAAAATGTTCCACTCCACTGACGCTGCGCTGATCAGCCTGTGCTCCTGGAACGCTGCCTGCCGACTTTCGCGAAAAAAACATGAAAGCGCCACTTAATCTGGCAATGTGAACAGGCTCTGAGCTGTCTCCTGTAATTGGGACAGCATGTGGCTAAAGGGTAGTCTTGGCTATATCCCGCGCTAACAGGTTCTGCAGAGTTGCGTAAGCTCACCAAGAACCCTTAGTTTGGGACGGGCACTAATGCTTGGTGTCCTCTTCTGCGAGTACAGACACTCCCTCGCAGAGGGTCCAGTTCCTGCTGGGCACGGAGGACGACGATGAGGAGCACATCCCCCACGACCTATTCACCGAGCTCGATGAGATCTGCCTACGCGAAGGGGAGGATGCTGAGTGGAGGGAGACCGCCAGGTACGGTGTCACATGACCTGCCAGCCAGCCAATCGCATAGGGCGACGGTGTCATCGCCCATCGCTTGAACTAAATTGCCCTAAAAAAAATCTGTTTGTTTTTTTCCTGAAGTGACCATTTAAACACAAGCTTAAGTGATACAGCAGTCAAGAGCTTGTCAACTAGAGGTTGTCAGCTAAAATTCAAGAAAAATACAAGAACAATTTCACCCCTTTCAGTATTTTTAATTTTATTTGACCAGTATATATATAGTACATTACATTTTATGCAGTTTTCTACTTCATCCATTTTCTGTCACTTTTGCAATTTAAGTGAAAGAATTAAAGACACAAAATTCATGTCAACTTTTGGTCAGTTACTTGGTAATGTTGCAGTTTGACTTTAATGACTTCAATTAGTTGTTCTAGGTTACTGTCTAATCTCCTGCTCCGCTGACACGTCGAGGTTGTACGGCTGAATGTCGTATCAGTTCCTGGGTGTTCCTGCGGGTGGCGCCAGCGGGGGGGTATGCCCAGTAACATCTGTGCATGTCTCCTGTGGACCCGCAGATGGCTGAAGTTCGAGGAAGACGTGGAGGACGGCGGCGAGCGCTGGAGCAAGCCCTACGTGGCGACACTGTCACTGCATAGTCTGTTTGAGCTGCGCAGCTGCATCCTCAACGGCACCGTGCTGCTGGACATGCGTGCCAACTCCCTGGAGGAGATCGCAGGTGGGGTGGGGGGGGGAGGTGCGGGGGACAGAGGCGCAGCCATCCAAAGCCACACGGCTTGGCACGGAGCGGTCCCGGTGCCATCTGCCGTGGATATTACCATAAACTGCCGAAGGGCATGCGCTGTCAACCAACCGCGGAAACGGGCGCGTTGCTTAGAGATTACAGAGCATTTCATCACCGAGACACGTCACAAGTCACTGTACAAAGATCCTACTTTGAGTGGGAAAAAGGGCATCACCATCCTGATCCTGATAATAATTTATTGTAAATGAACAGTCGTTTATAGGGCTAATCCAAAAATGGGGGCACGTTTGCTGCCATCTGCTATTTTTTTAAATGCATTTTACTTCCTATTTATCACTCATGTGCTGGTTGTTTGTTTGGACGCCCGGGTTCACCAGTGCTGAAACCCGACTTGAAGCTTGCCATTTACCTCTGACAGTGTTGTGTGCAGAAGGCTTTAAAATTTAATTTACTCGTCCAGAAAAAGCTGTCGTAAACTTTCCCCCCCCCCTACAAGTAATTATACAGCATGTTGATAGCTATGGACTGGACTGAAAGTTGGATTTTTTTTCAGACTCACGTGAGACCTGGTTCCTTGCATTAGGGTCAAATTATTTTCTATTGGTTATTATTAGGAAAATATCTGTCTTCATGGCCAGTGGTATATTCGTATACATTTTTTTTTGCTTTTAATTTGTGCAGCAGGTTGTGCATTTCTGTGTTTTTCTCATATTCTTGTGGGTTTAGAAAACAGCCCTTGGGTTTTCCGCATGTCTTATCATATTAGAACTTCTACGTTTAATTATTCTTCATGTCGCCTTTTCATTCTGTGTGATACAAGTGGAAAGACGTTTACAATAATTCATTTAATTCGTCGCGCAAAATGAGGAAATGCGGCATCTCCACAAGACATCTGTCTTTATCTCAGAATTGTCAGCTGTAAAAACATAGTCGCCTTGCCTCTAGATTAGAATATACTAAAAAATTTGATGGCAGAGTTGCACTTCGCATCTTATTTGGTTTTGGCCTGACCGAGGTGAACCAATGAATTGAAGGTTTGCGTAGCTGGAAAATCACACCGAAATCTCTTCATACTCTATTTAATAGCTTATGAGCTACTTGTCATCAAAGTGAATCAGAATCTAACAGTGTTTGACATTCGCAACTGTTTTCCCCAGACATGATTCTAGACCAGCAGGAGGCATCGGGTCCGTTGGGCGATGATGTAAGGCGGAAGATCCGGGACGCGCTCCTCAAGCAGCACCACCATCAGAACCAGAAGAAGTTGGCCAACCGGATCCCAATCGTCCGCTCCTTTGCCGACATCGGCAAGAAGCAGTCAGAGCCGCACTCCATGGACAAGAACGGTGAGGGCCATTGGGCCGCTGTCCCACTGCACCATCTGGGGAGATCTTCTCATAGGACCAAGTAGCATTATCTACTTTCTTCTGAGATGATAAATATACAGAAACCCTCCTATCTGCAAGGAGTTTGTAGGGTGTGGCTCCTTCTTTCTAGAAGGCTTTTGTAAGGTGAAGACCTACTTCAGGGTCTGACCAGTGCCATCTGGATGCAGACATTTGCAAAATATGTTAATTAAATACCATTAGAATCCATGGTCCCTCTCACAATTCGTTGCGCAATGTTTATCGAGACAAAAATAATACTTGTGATTTTGATGACTGTTCCTCAGATTTATTAATTCTGTATTTACCTTGAGGATGCATAAATATTTATTATGGGCACTGCAGCGTGTAAATTGTTCATTATGGCTTTGATAAGATTTTTGCCATCTTGGTTGGTGTGTAGTGTTTATAGCAGGCTAACAGCAGCAGCTGCATCTGTGCGTCTGTGCTATGCCCACGTGTATGTGTGTGTGCGTGTGCGTGCGTGTGTGTGAGTGGCTGCATGTGAGATTCTCTGGCCCTCCTGTAGAGAAGCCCAAATTTAGACATGAACCTTGCCGGTGTCTATCCGTCGAGCTGTTCCATTGATCTCTGCGTTTTTCCAGCATTTTATCCTCTTCTTTTTGTCTTCAGTGTCTCTGTTTCAGTCTGTCTCTCTTCTCTTCTCTCCACTCAGCGTGTGTGTGTCAAGCAGGCAACTCATCACTCTTTTCTGCCCTTATGTCAGCCCTGCGAGGCTCATTAGTGGCGAGCGGCTGTAGGAGTGACAGGCCGGTCTTACCCTGCGCCACGTGGTTGCTGTGTTGCCCCCAGTGTGTCTCCATCTCCTCTCCACTCCCGACTTCATCCGGCACTCACTTCCCCCCTGCCAAACCATACCACAAGCCCCCGGCGAGCAGGCTCCACCACGCCGCGAGTATCTCCGATATCCATCCCCTGGACAAGCAAGAAGACTCGGATTCAGGCAACTTAATCCTTGACAGACTTCCTCCCCTCTCCCTTCCTGAAACATAAACTTGTGATGGTGGCATTTGTCGTACCCGCACCCGTTTCAGTCCCTGCGGCTAGAGGCTGGCCATGTTTCTGCTGCATTCTCGTAATGCGTGGTTGTGTAGAATCTCTCTCAGGAGACGTAATGTGATGGAGACGCATCTCTACATGACAAAAGAAATTACTTAAAAGAAATGAATAAACGAAGTGGAGTGGCAGCTCGTTTGTTGTTTTATTTATGTCAGAATGAAAATTCCCTGACCGTGGTAGTCATGGAGATTGCTGTCAACAGATCATGCCCCTATCTTCTGTATAATTAGGATTTCGAGATGGTTTGGATGATATGTTGAAGGACCATGAAATGATTGATAGTGGATAGGTAAAGAATATATATTTTGTCAGCAGAAAAGCACATAAGAACTTAAATAATGAAGTTTGGTGATTTGTTTAGAGTCTAAATTCCACACATCCTTCCTGTGTGACAATTCTGCTCATTTTGTGAAATTCTGAAACCTTTTACAGGGGTTATGTTTAGGAAGCAGCTTTGGCAACTCCACAGTCCACATGCTGAAGAAAACAAACATGAAGAACCCTCTTAACCCTTTTAGTAAGCTACTTGTAAATTAATATGTTAGATATCCTCAGTACAGCTGATCATTAAGATGTTTATCTTACCCAAAATCTGAGTCAAGCCGATGGCATAACGAGGCACAAATGAAAGTGTTCAAAGCGTAAATAGTATACTTTCAGATGACTCATCTAAAAGGGTTGCGTGCGTGGTGTATCTTCATGGGTAGCTGCTACTTATTTAAAGCATCATTAGGCCAAAAATGTACCACTAATGCCATGAGGATTTCCACAGATTAGTTACACATTCGTGGCATGTGTTTGGCTCTAGAAAACCACAGTACGATGCAGAAGCAATTTCTACCAGCCTTGGCACAAACCAACCAATGAAAGTTTTACTTGATTAGGATTATGCAGTGAATATATTTGACATTCATGCTTTCGGGCTGGTCTTGTTGCTGTGCTGGCTCTGGACTGGTTGCCATGGTTGTATCAATTCGTTTTGAAGAAACAGGGAGCTGGGATCATACACTCATCTGTCTGAGCTCTATCACCCCAGTACACTCATCGTTAACCTCCATAAGTCACACCACCCATCCACACGCTTTATTAATTTATCACAGAATGATGTGATGTTGCCAATCTTAAACACGCCACAGTTGAGTATCTGTTCCAAAGTGGTGATGTTTTCGAACCGATTGGTCACCAGATTCGCTCCGACTTCAGCAGAGCTGTGACGCATTAAAATTGGCAAGTCAAGGAAGCACTTTGTATGAGCCCAAGTCCCCTTCCTGTAGCGCTGCCCCGGTGAGTGACTGACGCTACTCATTCATGTTTGAACCAGGTCAGATGGTTTCTCCTCAGTCCCAACCCTCCAACATGGACGGGAAGGGCGATGTAAGCAGGGAGAACAGTACCGTGGATTTCAGCAAGGTAAGTCATCACTCCTGAAGCGCCGGAACCTTCTTACTCATGCTGTATTTGAAATATCCTTTTGTACTATGAAATTGCTTTGAACATCGACTTTGGTACGTTTTACAAACTCCATGAAACAGAGGCATTTTTTTATAGGCTGCTTAAATAGAATCTTGCCAAGTTAAGACCAAAAGAGGCGTTTCAGTGGCTTTTCAACACCAGCGGCAATCTAAATAAAAAATAAATAAATAATTTAAAAGAAATATAAAGCATCATATTTTGTCTGGAATTAAAGACAGTTGCCTTTAATATCTGCTAAATGTATGCTGTCTAAAAATGAAAGTAGGTAGGACTATGCTTCTCCTTATCTTTGGGCCTCAGGTGACATGAGCTGACAAGGCCTGTATATCATCACATTATCTTTAGTGTCGTCCGCTCCCAATTGCGTGAGCTTCACCGAGTGTGATGCGAAAATGATGACGTTTCTCTCGGCAGTGCGAGAGTACAGCTAGGGGTCAGTCACGTCCGCCACACCGAGCACTTTGTCACAGGAAGTAATTACTGATATCAGCTCATCTCCTTGGACTGTTATGGGTTATTTAATGGCATTAAAGACCTAAATAACCTGCAGTATCATTACGGTAGTGTGGCTGGAATCTTTTTTACTGTGCAGAGTAGGTGTAATTTCTCATGAATGGGTTATGCTCAGTACGTAGCACATGTGGGAAACACCAGTTATCTGAATACGTGTTTTAAGTAATTTCTGCATTCTTTGAGGCATGCAGTGTACACTTGGCACTTTTCTGGTGATTTTTTGAATATGCATAGATAGTCCCATGCCTTCTCCCTCGTTTCCATCCTCCACGCTTTAAGTAATCCGACCTTGATCGTACTTATTTCCTGACTCGCGCCCACAGATTGACCTTCACTTTATGAAGAAGATCCCTCCGGGCGCCGAGGCCTCCAATGTCCTGGTGGGGGAGCTGGAGTTCCTGGACCGGCCGGTGGTGGCCTTCGTGCGCCTCTCGCCCGCCGTCCTGCTCTACGGCCTGACGGAAGTCCCCATCACCACCCGGTGAGTTTTCGGCACTCTGGCCACCCTGGACTCTATCAGCCTGGGGTTCTTTCCTCTCTTCCCCATATGTTCTGCCAGCTCTGAATAAACACTGACACCTGCAAATTCGCACTTCGCATCACAGTTCCCCGAAGCACCTTTACAGGGCCCACCCCCATATTCTGGCTTTATTTTAAAATTATACACGTCGTTAAAAGCTCAATCTACTTAACCCATCCTGCTCCGTGTTCTGTTTCCTTGCAGTTGATATATAGCGTGTGTATCAACGACACGTTGCATTATTGCCCTTATACATCATCGTTTTGTTAAGCATTAAGCAGCGGATTGGGGTTTCTAAATTGCCCATTGCGAGCGATTGAGTGCATGACATGCGATGGGCTGCCTTCCCACCCAGGGTAACCCCTGCCTTGTCCCCGGAATTTTTTGCCAAAGGCTTCAGTTTTAATTGGTTCACTAGATAAGTGCTTCGGGTAGATGGATGGATGAGATTAAGCAACGTAGACATGAAGTATTTTTCATTAACTGTACACTAGCTGTGTAACTGGGATGGCTTATGGCTACAGGTGAGAGAGAGAGCTAAGCCTTCATTTTATACCACCTGTCAGGTTCTTGTTCATCTTGCTGGGGCCTTTAGGAAAAGGACCACAGTACCATGAGATCGGCAGATCCATTGCCACCCTAATGACGGATGAGGTGAGCACACCTTCATTTTAGAGGGAACTTGGCTGCTGGCTCCTCAACCTCACCGGCTGGGTGGAGATGTTCTCCCTGTGTTTATCTGGGTTTTCTCCAGGAACTCCCATAGCTCAAACACATGTGCTGTAGGTGATTTTGGTGTTGGAGATGCACACATGTTTGATTACATTTAATTCATGATAAAAGCTGATGCTTTTATGCTTAGTTATAAATATTTTCCTGAGAAAGTAGGGTCGCCCAGTCCCTGGAGCAATTGGGAGTTAAGGGCCTTCTTCAGGAGCCTGATGGTGATATCACTCTGCTGACTCCGAGACTTGAACCAGTAACCTTCATAATCACAGCATGGCATCCTAACCCACTGATCACCATCTTCAAACCTGTGGAGCAGCTATGGAGGGATGGATGATAGGAACTCTTTGCGAGGTGTGAACTTTCCAGCTACGTCGCACCGACTCAAGGCATACGACAGAGTCAAATGTACGCCAGAGCGTTAGTGTCACACTCAGATGTTCCTCACATTCGCCTGTACTGGCAGCCGGAGGCATTTCACAGCCCGGCGTAGAATCACACCAAACACTGGAGGTGGTAAAATGAGACGCGCGTGTTCGTGCCTCGATGCCAGGCTGCCCCTCCAATGATGAGGGCGGAGTCACAGACCCGCTAATTAGCCATCAGCCTTTCTGGTGCGTCTGCTAGCTTGTCTGGGTGTCGTCAGAGCGAGGAATTTCAAGACTGAGGGAGGGTGACTTGTCAGTGTGGGAACCGCCCGGGTCAGGATGGAGACGAGAACCATGTGGTATGGGGGTGGGATGCGGTGGGATGGGACATGTGGAATCTGTGGTTTTGTTGGGGGGAGGGGTTCCCTCTAAAAGTGATGAGGCAGGAATGAGGTCAGTACGATGCAGAGCGGATGTACGAGAATGAAAAATGAGCTGTGTGGCTTAGTGGGTTAGGACACTGTACCTGTTACTAGAAGGTTGCCTGTTCAAGTCCCACGGCCAGCAGAGTGATGTTACTATCGGGTCCTTGAGCAAGGCCTTTAACCCCAGTTGCTCTAGGGAATGGCTGGCCCTGATAATTAATGTAATTCAAAAATAAGTCAAATTTATGAATAGATGGTAGAAAACAACACATGGGGAGAGGAGCTTTAGTAGGCCAACCAAACGTTCATAGTAACAAATCAACTGAATCATCATGGCATTCCCATGTCACCTAACCCCACAGCATTCTATAGAGTATACATTTATGTCTGGTTGGCTTTTGATATCCCATTGGCTTGTGTGGTCATGTGATTTCGGTTCAATCCAGGTATTCCATGATGTCGCCTACAAGGCCAAGGACCGCAACGACCTGGTGGCCGGCATCGATGAATTCCTTGACCAGGTGACGGTTTTGCCACCAGGAGAGTGGGATCCATCGATAAGGATAGAGCCCCCCAAGAATGTTCCCTCTCAAGTAAGCGTTGTGTCTTCTTAGTACGGATCGCCTGATGGCCTTTTTATTGTCAAGAACGGTTGAGGTGATGACACAGGATTGACGGCAGGATGCTTTCTCTGAAAACAGGAGAAGAGGAAGATTCCCATGGTTCCTAATGGCACGACGGACCTGAGTGAAGCGGAGGAGCACGGGGGGCATGGGGGGCCTGAACTACAGCGCACTGGGAGGTAGGCGTTTGGGCTGAGTAGGGCAAGCCTCCTGGAGGGGGATGGTGGTGGGGTCTAGTGAAAGGCACCCCCATGAATGAGTGGGACTTGGACTCTTCCATTGCCTTAGAGGGTCTCTGTATGAAAGGTCCTGATTGTAGGCCCCCTTTTCCAGAGCATTAAATTACATCTTTTGGCAAATTGGGCAGTTTCCTTTTTCACTTATTTACACAGGGGATTTTAAAACATCTTGCACCGTAACTTTGTATAAAACCGTGGATCCTTCTTCTTCGTGTTGGTAATTTAGCCTTTTCCATGCAATGAGTCAATCGTAATGTCATTTTCTTATGTTAATTTGAGTATTTAGCATTTGGACCAGATTGTAATGGCTGAGGCATTAACGTTGGAGAGCCAAAGTCAGACTGTTGGACAGACGCCCAGTCTGACGCCGATCCATCTCCCAGGTGACAGGGTTCAGCTCAGCTGAAATGTATGTCAGTGTCAGGACTGTGGTTGCTACAACAACATCCTCCAGACAGCCCACAAATGCCTGTGTTCATGTAAGCCTGGGAAATGCTGCCATTGTTTGGGGGTGGAATTTACATCTTACATCTCGTGGATCAAGAGAAGCTTGATAAGCTTTATTGCATTGTGCTTTCTGGAGAAATCTCACAGGACCAGTACTGTTAAAATAGGTCCCTAAATGGTACAGATCCAGGAGAAATAGTTTGCATCCATTACATTTATCTAGAATAAAGCTTAGTTGTACTGCTATATATTTTATATAATTATTAATTATTTGGATTAGGGTGACCAGATAATCTAGGACTAATGATAAGCTAGGACAGAATTTGCAAACTACCATTTGATTTAAAAGGACCTAGATTTCAGTTAAGCACTTCTGAATTCTTGCTTTGTGCTGATTGGTCAGTTTCTCAGCATCATGCATATGTCATTAATGTTAGTGTGAAACAGCTGGATGAGTCTTTCAATCAAGGAAACAAACCAGTCAATCCGTGGTCCTCCGCTTCTGTCACAAAAATAAAATTCCTTCAATGGTCTAAAGCCTACAGCCACCTTATCGTTTTCAGACAACATGTTTATGTTATTTTTTGAGTAATATGCTATTGTATATATATTCTATATATCAGTAAGCACTGTAAATACATATCTACAATGCCATAAAAACAGTAAAGGCATAGAAAATACAACAACTATTTTGTAAAAGCTGAAGTAGATCAAAGTGTCTAAAGTGTCTGGTCACCCTAATTTGGACTAATTTGGCTTCAGGGGAACAACAGCAGTGAAGCAGTTACACCAGTGTATCGATCTAATTTATTTTTAATATACAGTCGCTGGAAAATGCCATGAAATGACACAGTCAAACTGTGTCACCCTGAGTGCCTAACGGGACACACTTAGGTTTGCTCGGTGTTTTCGGTGACTTTCAGGATCTTCGGCGGGCTCTTCCTGGATATCAAGCGCAAGTTGCCGCACTACCTGTCGGACTACAGCGACGCCATCAGCTTGCAGTGCTTGGCCTCCTTTCTGTTCCTGTACTGTGCCTGCATGTCACCCGTGATCACCTTCGGGGGCCTGCTCGGGGAAGCCACAGAAGGCCGAATAGTGAGGACCCGCCCACCCCCCTTGGCACTTCTCTATAACCCCCTCAGATTGCTCGATTAAATGATTTATGAAACGGCGATTGATTATTCATCCTGGATTGGCAGCCATCTTTGTCGGTGATTTCAGTGTGTTCTTACTCGGAGTGCATCATGTGTGTCTCTTACAGAGTGCAATTGAATCCCTTTTTGGAGCCTCGATGACTGGTATAGCCTATTCCCTGTTCGCAGGCCAACCCCTCACAATATTAGGAAGTACGGGGCCCGTGCTGGTGTTCGAGAAGATATTATTCAAATTTTGCAAGTAAGACTTTATCACTCTATTCCATGCTACCTCTGTTTGTGCTTGGAAAGAAATCTGTGTTTCACATACCGGTGATTAGATATGTTTGGTTCATCCCTGATTGGGATTTAGATTATAGAACTGGGATGGTTTTTGGTACAGGCCACCAGGGGGTGAATGAAAGGACGGCTTAGTGTGCTCAGCTACCAGCTGTGTTTATGAATGTATCACATCATTACGATGATGAGCTTCTCGGCCTCATGTTTTAGATTTGAAATTAAATGCTTACAAATGTTATGCTTTTTTTTTTTTTTTTCTTTTACCTGACACAACCCCCTTTTGGGTGTTTGGGGCGGAGACCTTCAGGTCATAACATAGTTTCTGTAGATGATGTGTCACTCTCCTGGGCTGTACACAAGCAGAATGTCCTGCATTCTTGCTCTTGTTGCACTTCTTCCAGAGAGTATGGGCTATCCTACCTCTCGCTGAGAACCTGCATAGGGCTGTGGACAGCGTTCCTCTGTCTGGTCCTGGTAGCCACGGACGCCAGCTCGCTGGTGTGCTATATCACGCGGTTCACCGAGGAGGCCTTCGCCTCCCTGATCTGCATCATCTTCATCTATGAGGCCTTGGAGAAGCTGATCCACCTTGGGGAGACCTACCCAATCAACATGCACAACAATCTGGACAAGCTCACCCAGTACTTGTAAGTTTGTCTTGGGTATGATATCTTCCAAAGTATGGGCTTGATTGATTGATTTTAGGACATCATCCACGAGAGGTCAGTTATTGCAGGTGATCTTCCTCACTGCCATCTATACAGGGAATATTCCCAGAGGTAAAGGTCTTATGAAAGTTGGCAGACAACGTTCTTAAATTTTACATTATTATTATTAGGGATGCACTGATTACAATTTTCTTGCCCGATCCCGATTACCGATTTTTTGGTATGTGCGATCGGCCGATACCAATTTTTCCGATATCGATTTTTGCCCTGAGAAATACATATAAAAATCACATTTTCTTCACCTTAAAACTTTATTTTCATAACAAACTCTTATTAAACGTTATAAATTCAAATAAATTAAACTAAAACAAATAAATAAAACCCCAATTGCAACTAAACATTAATATATTCCTTAAAATGATAATAGGTGCAGCAAATAAACGTGTGTGACATGACACTAGATTAAACAACTCCGGTAGCTCGACGTCCGAAAAGTAACACCTACTCGGTATTCTATATTTTGGGCTAAGGTAATTTATCAGATTTCTGAAGCCTCTATCCTCAACTACAGAAAACGGCTGGTCATCCAGTGCTATGAATTCCATAATTTCTTTGTTCTTTTCACTGCTTATACCAATGAAAGACAGCAGACTGCTGGCTCGTAGATGGCTTCCAACATGCTTCGCTAGCAGCTTTCGCTTTGCTAGCTTCTTCAAACTGAGCGTGTTCACTGGGGTGATGTGTTTTTAAATGTCTAATTAAATTTGTTGTTAAATGTCTTTGTTTTGGTTCCCCCAAGGTGTACCTGGTCCTTACACTTGCTGCAGATAGCGAATTTTGCGTCCGCTTGACTCACGCTGAAGAATTTCCAAATTACGGACATTTTTGCGTGTCAGAAAGTGCGCGCGACTGCGCATATGATTTATTGTGCATGCGCAAGATCGGTTCGTAATCAGAAATACGTGAGACTGATCGGCTGATCATTAATCAGGCCGATCAGGCTGAAAATCGGCCCATTCCGATCGCTAGCCGATCGATCAGTGCATCCCTAATTATCATCTGAACATTCTCGTAACGTAATTAATATTGAAAAATATTTTATAATATAAATATTTTATAAAAGTGCTGTATGTGTATACTGTACTGCAAACACACTGCCCAGCCTGTAGAAGTAGAAGAACTTTCTGGGAACATCAGGAACACTGGACACTGAACGTTTCCATACCTTAATCATAATGTTTGGTAAACGTTCCTAGAACAAAGAATAATGACCTGGGGCTATGACTGCAGATCAATTGCCTGGACTGGAATGACATTGCCTTCGCATTTTCTGTTTGGAAGTTTAAGGCTGAGATTACGTACTCTTCAATGTGTGCATTTCATAAAGTATATAAAACAGGAAATTATGTCATACCTCTAGAAAATGAATTGAGTGTTTGATACTACAGGTGTATCTGTGTGGAGCCCCCTGATCCCAGTAACGCCACTATGACCTACTGGGAGGAAAACAACATCACAGCCTCGGAGATATACTGGGAGGGTCTGGAAGTCAAGGTATTGTGAATTGAGCATCTTTGAATACAGATCAAACTATTCACTTAAGCAGGGGTCACTAAATGCTCACATTTTGCTTTATGCCTTTTAAAGGATTTGCACTGATTGTTGACAAGCTCTGTAAACAAGATATTTTCTAAAGCTTTTACAAATGCGAGGGCTTTTATTGCAGGGGGGTGGGTGTGGGTGAGATTGTAGGCTTTTTTACATGCAATGCCAGATGGAGCCAAAATAAGCAAGTAGATTAGGGACTTGCGGGGTGGATTAGAGGATTAGAAATATGAAATCGCCCTAAAAGCTCAGAAGCACTGCTACATTTGCTATTTTGTGGCCCCGGTGTAAGGTTAATAGCATCAGTGCACACTGCACACATGGCAGAACGGGCCACCAAGTTAACTGGCTGATGTCATGTGGCTTGTGGAAGCTTGCAATCATCCAAAAATAAAGTGACATCAGTCATATGCCTAAGATGACAAGCGTTAGCAATGCTGTTTCACTTTCAAAGCAAAAATGTCACATCTGTCACAGTATAATTAGAGCACTGACTTCCTGGAAATTTCTGATTAAATCCCGCTCAGATTACATATATTATTCTCTCAGAATAATTGGAACTGGGTAATATTTAACTGAAAAATGCAAAAGCTGGGATTGTGACTTCAAATACGTAGTCGGCGATTTTAAGCTATGTTTAAGCTATGTTTAAGCCATGATGTTGCTCTTGCTGTGTTCGTGCAGGACTGCATGGAGAAGCGTGGGGAGTTTGTGGGGAGTGCCTGTGGTCCGCACGGACCCTACGTCCCCGATGTCCTCTTTTGGTCAGTCGTACTCTTTTTCTCCACCGTCGCCATGTCCTTCTTCCTGAAGGATTTCAAAACTAGCCGCTACTTCCCTACCAAGGCAAGTCATCCGGTTTCTTACACAGGCCTGCAGTTAGCAATGCAGTGTGCAGTTAGCATTTGCCTGGAATCGGGAGGCCTTTAGCTTTTAAACCAGTTACATCCTACATGTCGTTTGAAAGTTCCAATGCAAGTAATAAAATATCCATCTCAATAAATGGGAATATTCTATCATTTATACGAATACAAATGAGAGGCTTCCTGTCCAACGAGAAACAAAAATAACTTACGAGTGTCCCGGTGCCCTCTACTGCTAGATTAATGTTACATCTGAATTTGTTGCATGTGGTGAGACTGACCTAGTTAGTTTTCCGTCTGTAGGATGAAAACATTATGAAAACACATTTATAAAGGAAATGATTACATGTGGTTCCTGACTGGTTCTTACTTAGTCCAACCTCCAACATGCGTTTTTGTACCCAGGTGAGGTCAATTATCAGTGACTTTGCCGTCTTCATCACCATCTTCACCATGGTGCTCGTGGACTATGCCTTAGGAGTCCCATCTCCCAAACTGAAGGTCCCCAACGAGTTCAAGGTTGGTCAAATTCAAAGTTGTCTTTCACACTGACTGAATGTAGAACAGACTCATGTGTTGACATATATGCTATTAGTATAATGTTACACAGCACCCAAGTTCATGATTCCAGGGTTTCTTTCCACTGTCATTTCACTGTGGGGTGACCACATGATTCTTCACAGCCAACCAGAGATGACCGTGGCTGGCTGATCAATCCCCTGGGCCCCAACCCGTGGTGGACCACTATTGTGACAGTCATCCCTGCTCTGCTTTGCACGATTCTTATCTTCATGGACCAGCAGATCACTGCTGTCATCATTAACAGGAAGGAGCACAAGCTAAAGGTATTGTGCAGATAACAGTGCTTAGTATTATATAGTATATATACTATAGCATATTACTCAGAACATAAGAACATAAGAACATAAGAAATTTACAAACGAGAGGAGGCCATTCGGCCCATCAAGCTCGTTTGGGGAGAACTTAGCTAATAGCTCAGAGTTGTTAAAA